TCTGTGTGTGTGTGTGTGTGTGTGTGATGATTTTCATCGTCACAATAGATCACCGCAGACGTTTGCCAGATGTCATGGCAACAGCAAAGCACACAATATTTCTGTGACCTTGTGATTTCAGCTCCATCCTCATTGGAAAAATAATGACAGATAGTGACAAATTATGTCTGTCTCTGCCACAAAACAAGCACCTGTTTCAAATGCGTCCTGCTCTCAGAGTAAACGCTGTTGTGCCGAGGACAGAGGAGGTGCTGCTCATTTTGTCCTCATGTTGAAGTCAGTTATTTTAGCACTGCATATTCTACATTATCTAATTAGTGTTTATATGTTCAAACTGCAGATGAATACATGCTTATTTTTTTTTTATGTCTGAGAACACACTCATACACGTATCAATTAATGGATCACAGTAATTGAAACATATTATAATACCATAATTTAGTATGAGAATCTGCTTTAAAGGATTTGCATAATGATTTTGTATGTTATTTATATTTAATTGTATTCATCTCCTGTGTTTGTCTTTTAGGGAAGAGGCCATCATGTCCACATATTTTGAGACGGTAGACGATCTGCTTGCGTCGTTTGGTCCAGTGAGGGATTGCTCTAAAGATAATGGCGGATGCCGGAAAAACTTCAAGTGTGTTTCAGACAGAAGGATGGACTCGACCGGCTGCATGGTGAGTTATCACAGATCATCTAACATCGCTCTCATAACCGCTGACTGTGGTCAAACTATCTGAACCACAGCACATGTGAGGGTGGTTGAGTCGCGCTCCTGGCACGCTGCACTGAGACTCTCAAGCTCTCATTCCAGGAGAACAGCATTCTGGCAAATACGTCTCATTACAGGCAGATAAGTTTGTCTCATGTTACGTGTGCAGATTAAAAGGAAGGAAATGAGTACAAGGAAATGCGGTTAATGGCTTTTTGGGGTGAGATCTGCTCATAAAACAGGGAAATTGATGAGCTCACAGCGCTCTGAGCTGATGGATGAATCAATCATACACAGCACAATGGGCCTTGATCACGCACACATTTATTAGGAATGAAAGTCTGACAGTGATCTTGCAGTCTTATCAGCTGCAGTGCTTTAAAAGAATAGTTCACCCCAAAATGAAAATGCTCTTATCTTTCATTAACGCTTGAGTCGTTACAAAGCCATTTCTTCTGGGGAACACAAAAGGGCAACTTTTGAAGAATGTCCTAATTGCTCTTTTCTTTTGTAATGAAATAAGAATGTGTCAGATTTTATGTCAGATTTGACATAAAAATGATTAGTTCTCACATGTCCCATGACATCATAGATGTCAAAAAGAAAAAGTAGTGTGAAAAAAATAAAGTAAAAAGCGGTGAAAAAGTATGCTTACTTGTATTGAATGTGTACACTTGTAGTGTACTTTAAATCTCAAATGTATATATATAT